GTTATTTAGTTTTTGTATTTTAATTTTTATCTTTACTTTAGTTATAACCTTCTTTGATTAATAGCTTGCTATTTAATTAATTTAAATCTTGAATTATATTGATTACTAGTGGTTTTACTTAGTTAATCTTTATAATTTCTCTGATTTATTTATTTATTTTTTTATTTTATTACTCTTTTTAAGATAATATTTGTAGATATTGGCACAGATCTTAAAAATCTTTGTCATTATTGAAAGTTATAGTCTAATTCCTCTCTCTTTATCTTTTAATTATTTCAGTCTCTCTCAATCCTATATTGTTAAGATGAATTCAAGTAAAATTTCACTTATTAATTCATTATAATAATATAAATAATAATTTTTAAATTAATTTTATTATTATATCTAATTATTCTATTATAAAATAATTATTTTATATAAAAAATTCATATAAATTAGTACTTGAAAAAGAAAACTTTTATTTTTTTATAAAAAAATTAATCTTCTAATTATATATATAAGTAAAACTCAACAAAACAAAGATTAGAAGTAAAAATAATTTATTTGACTTATTAAAATTTTTATTTATTAAATTTATATTAAGCTGAATTTATATATATATTTGTATAAATTTTTAACTTACAAATTTAATAATATAAACTTTATTAATTAATAGTAAATAAAAGAATACTAGTTTACTATAATATATTCTGATATTTAGTCTTAATTATTTTTTTTAACTTTCTTAAATTAGATAAAAAAATAATATTAATATTAAGTTTATTATTATAATCTTGATTAATATATAGAAACAAAAAATTAATATGCTTGAGAGCTAATTTATAAGAAATAAATTTGACTATTAAAAAGTTTTCAGATTCTAATAATTCTTCTTTTTCTATTATTACAATAATTAACTTAGTTATTGATATATTATATATAAAAATAGAATTTTTCAAATTAATAAACTTTGTTATTTTCATTCTAATATCTTAAGTATTAATAGAAAATTAATTAATAAATTAAATAAATTCTATATTTATTAATAAATTAATATTTTTTTCAGTTTTAATAACTATAATATTATTAGATAAAATATTTATTTTTACTATGTGTATATTATTATCTTAGTGATTATTTAATTTTATATAATTTTAATAAATTTAATAGCTTTATAAATATTGATTTGAGAAATAGCTAAAAGAAATTAGTTTTGAATAGTAGTATTATCATACTTTTGAATTTGATTAATATAATAAAGTCTTTAATATTGACTTTTGAAATTATAAATAATGCTAGTATCATATAGCTAAAAATATACTATATAATTAGAAGATAAAAAATATATTGTAATATTTAATAATATAATATTATTATTAATTTTGTATAAGAAGATATTATTTATAAGTAATAAAATATTTCAATATAATTTACATATAGTTTTATTAAGTTTATAAAGTCAATAATTAAAAATTAAAGTTTATATCTAAGTTATTAAGTTTTAAAAATAATAAACTATCAAAACATCTTTATTAATTTCATAAAGTGATCATAAATTTTGATATTTATAAATTAATAGAGATTTTAATTTCTCTCTTATAATACTTATGATTAGAAATAGTATAGTAAGTATGTGATACTTATTTATTATTTATTATAATATATTATAACTTCAAAATTTTATAAGTTATAATTACAGTCATACCTCTCTAGTATCACATGGTTGATAACACACTTAACCTGTGACTATATATGGATATGACCATATAGAGTTTCCCTCTATATAGTCATGCTATATAAAGTATTGATCTGATGTGACTTTAGGGAGATAATTATTTTGGAAAAGCATAACCCTTTATTTGAAACGAAAAATTGTATTTAGTAGAATATTATTAAAAAATAGGTAACTAACAATCAAATATTAACTTTCAATGACTTCATGAAGCAAGTATCTTTTTTTTAGCTAACTAATCCAAAATTAATATTCTAAACTCTATAAACAGGTTCAAAAAAATTAGTAATTGATTTCTGTTATTTAGATTCTATATTTTTTCATTCCATTATTAGTAAATACTTTCTTAAAACCTTTAAATCTTCTACATTAAAATCCTTACTTTCCTGTTACTCAAAAAAATTGATAAATTTCTTTAATTCAATCAATCCTTTTGAAATAGAAACTTCAGGTGACTCTTCATCAGTATCATTAGAATTACCCTCTTCACATTTCTGATATTCATCCAATATGATTTCAATAATTTACATTTCATCAAATGCTTCCTCCATAGATATTTGCATATTGTTAATCTTGGTATATCTGTTTAATTCCTGTTCAATTGTTAGATCTGGAAATTTTATTATCAGATCTATAATCAAATTTCTGACATTATCTTCTTTACTATTGGCTAAGTCTTGTTCAGTACTGGTGGTATCTTCAATTTTAGTATTTGAGATTGATGAAAGAATTCTTATTTTTTGTCAATAATTTATAATGATCAATTCCTTGACTTCATCCCATGATGTCACGACATAATATATGGCATCTTTGATATTAATTTTATTTCTAAATAAAGAATATAAATTAGAAGGTCTCTCATATCAAAAATAATGAAAAAACAATAATGAAAAGTGGCAGAATAATGTAATTTTGAATACATTACTAAAGAATAAATTTTCTTACTTTTTAAAATCCACATCTTTGTTTATTAATTGGAAATTCTATATTACGAGTA